GACTCACACACTCACATGGCACGGCATTATGGACCTAGGACACTCCGTCGGCTAGCAAGGAGACAAAGGGCGCACGGATACTCGCACGGTCTTGGTTACTCCGCCCATGCGAACGGACGAGGGTGGCGCGCGGTCTTCAACAAGCCTTCGGATTCTCCGCCCACTTCCATCCGCACGGCATAGAACTCTCCGCCCACTAGCATTGGGCGCGGATCCTCGGAAGAACACGTGCGCACGGTCTTCACGCGAAGGTTGGGCACGGGTCCTCGGACGAACACACGCGCACGGCACCCGCATGAACTATGGACCGAGACACTCGCACGGCACTTGAACATGGACTCGATCAAACGAACCACACACGGTAAACACGCGAACTAAGGTCCGAGTAACACACGGCATTGAACATGAACGCGGAATAAAATCCGAACCATTTAGCTAATCTCGTGATTAATGTAAATTAATCACTTAATTATGTTTAATTATCTAATTAAACATAATACTTAATTACCAAAATTATTTCAAACATAAACGGTACGTCGAAAATAATTCTGGTAATATCGACTGAAATAATTGAAAATAATTAATTAATTCCGAAAAATAATATCGGAACTAAAAATATTATTATACTGATAAAAAGTCAGGATATTACAGTGCTCGCCAACCTCAAACTGAATGTCTCGTCGATGATGATCGGCGGAAGATTTCTGTCGACTCTGAGCTGTCCTGAGTCTCTGCCGGATCAACTCGACCTGCTCTGCTGTCTCCTCGATCATCTTAGGACCGAGTACTCGTCGCTCTCCGACGTCGTTCCAATAGAGAGGGGAACGACACTTGCGACCGTATAGTGCCTCGTAAGGAGCCATTTGAATAGAAGAATGATAACTGTTGTTATACGCAAACTCGGCGTACGGCAACAGTTACTCCCACTTGGCACCCCTGTCAACAACCAAGGCACGAAGCATATCCTCGAGTGTCTGAATCGTCCGCTCTGACTGACCATCTGTCTCCGGATGGTAGGCTGAACTGAACTCAAGCTTCGTGCCCATCGCCTCATGTAAGCTGTGCCAGAATCGGCTGACGAATCTGGGATCTCTGTCTGATACAATCGTGACGGGCACTCCGTGGAGTCGGATGATCCCACGGGTATATATCTCAGCCAACTTGTCCAGAGTCATCTTCATCGAAACAGGTAAGAAATGCGCGACCTTAGTCAATCTGTCGACCACGACCCAGATAGCATCGTGATGTTCAGACGACCTCGGCAATCCCGTAACGA